CGCAAGATATACTCCGTGAGGTGGTTACATGGACGTAGATGATACATTCAGGACCGCTCTCTTTCCATGTCCCTTGGGATGCTAACCGCCAAACCTCAAATTGACGGCCCAGTGGCCTCTCCATCAGTCCCTAAGTGTGGTTAGTACTCATAACGTTCGGGTAGCGAAGCTTACACTTGTTCAATAGTTCGTCGTGGCTTTCTTCCCTATACCTTTCCGCTCGAATTCAGAGATTTGCCAGCTCTCTTTTAAAGGTGCAGGAGTCTACTGAGCATCGGAGCATAGGCAGGCCTTGCATCCGGTTAGAAGAACGCCTGGTCATTTTAGCTGTATGTAGACAAACTTGCTGTACTACTACTACAGCCACTGACTGGGCATTCTATTTGGGTGAAGACGGTCATCGAACACTGGGTACCGGCCTTGTGACTGAACGGTACACATACCATAACAGTGCACAAACATATAGAAGAAAAAAAGACAACAACAACAACAACATAGTCAGGGCATATACCACACACATTTCCCCACGTTGTACTGAATTACTTACAGAGCTATGGGAAAAAAAAAAAAAAAAGGAGAGCTTAGAGAGCTATGCATACACTCTAGGAATACCTGAGCATAAACTATTAAACATCCATCCAAAGTTTTCCAAACAGCTCCAGTTACAACAGGTAAGAACATGAAAAAAATTCAAAAAATCCTCTTCTGTTTAAATCGGAGAACTTACGACTGAAATACGACATGAAATTTCCAAACATAACACAAAATTACAGGAGCCAAAGGGAAATATGCTGGCTGCTCCTAAAATCATTCCAATGGCTGCTACTGTTGCTTTGTTGGGTGCAGCCTTCTTAAGACAAAAATACACCCTACTACCCTGACCTTCGCGCCTTTTTTTTTTTTTTTTTTTTTTTTTTTAAAAACAGGCCCTTACGGTCCTGGCTCCGTTTCCATTCTGGGGAGCATCAGTCCGGTTCCTAGTCCACCGGCAAGTCCGAATAAAAGAATACATCATAAATAATCACCCACGCTTCCTTAGGACCCCTGACCTTTGCGCCTATTTTTGTTACTTAATAGGGTAACAGCCTACTAACAAGTTAATACATACCTCAGTGTATACACCTGCGGCACCACTGAGAATCGCCATTATCTGTTGAATGAAGGAAAGAAGGGACAAGGGAAGAGCACATGGGTATCAGCAGTAGGAAACCATTGTGTCTATCGTTTCTGCATACGAGTAGGTTAAAAAAAAAAAAAAAAAACATTTCACGGTTTACGTGTGTCAGCCTTGAGCAGGGGCCATGCTAATCCAATCTGTATTGTTCCAATTTTTAACGGATGTCCCGAAGAAGTGAGTCTAGTTGGTTGGACCTTCAAAAATTAGAACACAAAGAGCGCTTGCTCACTTGCCAGCAAAGAACGCTTCTCTGTATTGCCGTTTGGGATACCCGTTAAAATTGGAATGATACAGAGAAGATGAGCATGGCCCCTCTGCAAGGATGACGCACATAAATCGAGAAGTGTGTGCGAGGATTGAGCCCTGGCCCCAGCAAGCCTCCTGCCCCCTCCCTAAGTGAAGGTGGGCCTGCATTTCGACATGAGGCCTCATTTTGGTCGATTCTGCATGTTGGGGCCCCAGACAGTTGCCACACGCCCGCCAGTTGGTTACAAGGGCCACACAAGCGTGAACACAACATTGTGAGAGCACAGGGGTCTCCCAGGCAGTGACGTGGCTCAGGGCCTCTCGATCAATGGGAAGGCAGCCAACAGCGCTGGCCACGTCGCACAGTTGGGCTGCTTACCTGCTGCAGGCCCAGGCCACAGTCTGCAATTGGCCTGGGCGCAGATACTGGGGCCCAACCGGAAGCTACCGGAAACAAGGTTGGCAAGGCCCGGGCCTCATGAGAGCAGGGCTCGCTTTCCATATAGGAAAGTGAGCGCCCAGCCAGAGGACATTCTGGAAGTGCACGACAGGGCGGCCACGCTGCTGCTCCAGTCTGAGAGCGCTAGCTCGCTGCGTGGGCGCTGTCTGCCAGTGGGCGCACACGTGTGCAAGTGGAGAGAGGGACTGTGGCTGCAGCAGGCGCGAGAGGCCATAGCCCGGCCTGATCGCGGTGGCCAGTGTGGGTGATGGTGGTCTTCGGGAAGAGAATGCACAAGAGGTGGGAGAGAAGGTGGTGAGGTCCGAGAGAGAGACGAGACACGTACCTGGTGTACGCGGCAGTCTGCATCGGCGACTTCGTCACGTACATTGGTCTTCAACTTGAAGCGACTCCTGTTGCATGAACGTAGTCTATAGGCAAGAGTAGGTGCTGAGTAGGATAGGCTGGGCCTGGCTGGGCGCTGAGCAGCAATCAAGAAGGGCGACATTGGATACTACGTTGGTGGTGGCGAAAGAGGGCCGACATTGACATTTGAGTTCATTGTATATGGCTCTTATTTGGCTTGTGTCTCCGTGCATTGTGCTTTCTGCTCGGTACACGACTATCTGGTTTTCTGTGTGATATTGTTGCGATTTGTTTTTTTTTCTGTCTATCGCTCTCGCCCATTTTCCTTGCAAGTGGTCCCCCCCCCAAAAAAAAAAAAAAAAAATGCTCGCTCACTTGGCACTGTTGTAGGCAGGGCCAAGCACCCTTGCTGACTGAAAAGTAATAACATACATTCTGTAATTTCTTATTCTTTTTTGAAGTTTTTTCGTTCACTTTCTTCAAATTCTTTTGGTATTTCTTTTCTTTTCTTTTCTTTTGAAAAGGCGATCATTTGGAATCGGACCCACACAAGAAGACTGTGCTCTTGGAACACTAACATTTAGACTTTCAAGATTTTGCATTTCAAGTTTTCAACGGTTCAGATTTCAATTTAAAATTTTAAAGCATTCTGCACCGTCCCTTCCTCCTCCTTGCCTCCTCCGCCGCACCCCCACGACACACATATCTTTTTCTTTTGCGGAGTTGAGTACAGCGAACATGACAACACATACATACAGTCACAGACCCTGTCCCCACTCCCTCCCCGTCCAGCCCGGTCTGAGTCTGGACTCTGGACTCTTAAAAGTTTTGAGGCCTAGGGGCACGGGCCCACTGAGCTATGCCCATGCGTAGGTTAAATAGGAAGCGGCTACTTTTTTTAAGTTTTTTATAACAAGTTATTTTTTTATCATCTGAATTTGACCATCCGGTTCGCCAAGAAAGATCTGGACAACGGCCAGCGGGGTCTGCCCTACAAGGGGGAAAAGGTGAGCCCCCATTTTCATTCTCTAGGCAGTAAGCACGTAAACCACCAATACCTTTCACAAGCAAACTCAAAACCTCCTAAGAATGCGGTATAACCTATACCGCATTCTTCGGAGGCCAGGTGCCACCGGACCAAAATGGTTGGCGGCGCCAGCCAAAAAAAAAATCCAAAAAGAAAAAACAGTGCTGGAGCTTCGGCAAAGCTTGGCACGCAGGTCTTTTCTGCCTTGCCAAAAATAGGATTGGAGGGTAGTGTTGGTTTAAGAGGTTTGGGTTTAGGGTTTCAACTACATCAGAGAGTTCGGCAGGGAATAAGACAGTGTTAGAGAATCTTAGAGTATTTTGTTGGGGATTCCAGGGGTTCTGAGCATTCGGAGGACTTCGGTGGCTTTCTTTTTTAACAACTGTTGCTTGAATAGCCTAGAAATAGGTCGGGACTCGGCAGGTCAGCAGTTATTCATGTTTTCTTCAACTTTTCTTGAACTCTTTTCATAGTTCTCACTGACAGATTGTTCTTAGCCGAAGCCAGGTAACGGCCTCAGACTGTTATTTCAAATCATTTGTATAATTCCATACGGGACGCTGGGCCCGGTTCCCAGCACGTGTTGCTCCCCACGAATAGATTGGAGCATTTGTCTCATTAAAAAAAAAAAAAAAAAAAAAAAAAAAAACAGATTTGACCGAAGCATACCGAATACATACTGTGTGCATACACGGTACATATTACATAATATTACAGAGTATCACATAGTATTACGTAGTACAAAGGCACTGACTAAGACACTATTATGTGGTCTTACATAGTACTGGAGAGCATTGCCGATAGAGGATCGTCGATAGAGAGGGCAACTGCCGCAGGTTGCGAACAAAAAAGCTCACTGCAAAGATCCGGCGGCGATCGGAGAGCAGCCTTCAAGACGCGCCTTTGGCCCTCACGTTCGTCGGCTCGCCAGAATCAGTTTAGAAGGATTCATTATGTTCGCTATGCGGACGACTATGTGTTACATAGTATTATATGCTATTACATAGCATAGTATTACATGCCATACATGGTACAAAGGCACTGACTAAGACACAGTAGTATTTACTATTACATAGTATTACACATTACATAGTACAAAGGCACCGACTAAGACACACGATTACGCAGTATTACATAGTATTAGTACTGTATTACACATGATTACAGTGTATTACATAGTACATAGTATTATTTAGTATTAGTACATAGTGTTACAGTGTTACATAGTACTAGAAGGTATTACATACTATTACATAGTACAAAGACACTGTGATACACACTCGGTCGAGCAATGTATGGGGAGCCAAGGATCCGCAAAGTGATGAAAAGGACTCAAATGGACAATGCAGTGTCAGCAAAGCATCAACAAGCAATGTACATCCAGATACACATGAAAATAGCACAATGTAGCGCAGCGGAAGACTCAAAGATATGACCTGACCTATCAGAGACTGACGCGACATCCCATCATACACCACACATGTGAGAGAGGGAGGAGGGACCGTATACATGGAAGAAAGGTCCGTCCTTGATCATGCACATGGGGAGATACCACCGGTGAGGAGATGGTGGGGACAGGCGAGACGAAGATGGAGATGAGGGAGAAGACCAAGATCGCGATAGCAAGTCCAAAAATAGTCTCCCTGCCGAATGTCCAATCAATGTCTACCACAAAAAAATGTCAAATCAGATCCTGGGCCTTATGCCCGATGTAACCTCTGCCTGTAACCTCTCTCTCTCTCTCTCTCTCTCTCTCTCTCTCTCTCTCTCTCTCTCTCTCTCTCTCTCTCTCTCTCTCTCTCTCTNTCTCTCTCTCTCTCTCTCTCTCTCTCTCTCTCTCTCTCTCTCTCTCTCTCTCTCTCTGAAAGAAGAAGAAGAAGAAGAAGAAGAAGAAGAAAAAGAAGAAGAAGAAGGAGGAGAAAAAGAAGAAGAAGAAGGAGGAGAGGGAAGGAGGAAGAAGGAGAGATGGAGGGCGAGAGCAAAAAGAAGAAGATGTCGTCCTCCTCGCTATCTCACCTGCAGGTAACTGCCGCCATGTACTAACTGTTGCCGCGTGTCTCCTCTGTGCTGCAGGGCGCTGGCGTGAAGACCAGCTATGGCGCCCAGGTAAGATCTCCGTCGAAGCAGGTATGGCCTCCGCCTCCCTCCCTACCTACACCTCTACCTCTAGCGTAGCGCTGTCTCGCTGCTCCAGCAGTGTGTCGCCCAGGAAGTGAGCTACTTGAACTGTGTGTCTGCCCAGGCATGGCCCAGCTATAAGTAGCGCTGGGCCTCGCGGGTGCGCCTCTGGTCCTCGCCTGAAACGGTCTGCTGGGTCTGGGTCCCGACCGGACGTCCAGACCCTCCCTGCTACTGGACGAACACTAACCTGGCCCAACAGGGCCTGCCTATGTCCGTATCAGGCCAAAAGTGTGGCCTTGTCCGAACAGACCCGAGGTCTGTTTGGACGTACTGAACTGCAAGTCCGAAACGACACCTGAACAGACAAAAATAGGACAGCACATTAAATAAATAAATAAATAAATAAATAAATAAATAAATAAATAAATAAATAAATAAATAAATAAATAATTTAATAAATAAATAAATGCTGCCTCAAATTGAAACCTGCGGCCCTAAGGTCGGCCGTGGGCGTCCAGGGCGTGAGTCTGAGGGGCGTGCGGCCTGGGGGCCCCCAACAACCGCTGGGCCCCCCAAATGGGGTCCGTGTGCAGGCTCAGCATGTAAAACACAGCCTAACACACATAGTGTTACATAGTGTTACATAGTGTTACATAGTGTTACATAATGTTACATAGTGTTACATAGTACAATAAAGTATTACATAGTATTACATAGTACAAAGTAACAAAGACACCGACTGAGACACACTGCATCATACTTTCTGTGTATTCTTCAGAATGGTGGGGTCAGAAGTTCTGGATGCAGCAATCATTGAATTAGGTCTCACTTGGCAGAGGGATGAAGCAGGTAAACTATGGTTTACGTCAAGAGTACTCAATACGGAGCCAGCCGACAATACAGAATCTACAGACGTACATATAGACGCCATCATCCGTACAGACATATGCATCGAAATTGCTAAAACAAACAAAACAAACAAAACAAACAAATGTTCAAAAACAAAAAAAAAAACAGCAAAAGTATATCCTCCATTGTGGGTGGTGGTATTTGAAGTGCACTATATCCATTGCCATGAATGTATTGTACACAGAATCGTAGATAGATTCAAAGACGGTATACGATTCTAAACACAAAGGAGGTTGAAATGCATCAAGTGTTACATTAAGATCAACAAGCACCATTTGGAAAAACAGAGGGCTGAAATGACTTACTATGGCCATTAAAAACCCAATGAGTGGTGTCTGAAAAATTGACTCAGATCTGCAAAGCACAGTCACATTACGCCACGGCAACTGCTGAAGGTATTACTTCCAATTTCGTTTTTACTGGCAGGAAATCTGTTCCGTAACTTCGCTTTTACTTCAGTCAATTTCAAGTTAGCCACCCAAGAAGCAGCTTACTGCTAACACTGCTAAGCTTTCTGGCAATATGGCAAACTCAAATATATGCAAAGTTGCAAACCATTACTTCAAAATCCAAAGGTGTAAATAGTCATTACAGTGGTTAATAACTTAATACTAGTTAATAGTATTTAATACTGGTTTCAATGATCAAACTGGCTGCTGACAATTGATACGCAACTGCAGCCTCCCCTTTTTATCCTTCGCCTTTTATACTTATGCCAAGTGATGCACCCCTCAAACATACACAGCGTATTACACACACACATACACACACAGACAAACACACACACACACACACACACACACACACACACACACACACACACACACACACACACACACACACACACACACACACACACA